TTTTTTTTTTTTTTTTTTTTTTTAAAGTATAGTGTTACATGTTTAATCGATTTTACGGATTTCTTTTTTAAAGAAATTGATTATGATATGGAAACTAAACTGCGATATTTTTAAATATTCTTTTTGTGAATGAAAAAGTTTATTGAAATTGTTTACGTTTAAAATTATTTAAAATTATTTATTATGGTTATATGTAAAATCATTTCTTGATGGTACTCTGTTTTCATAAAAAATAGAATTTTTCTATTTTTTACAATATGTCAATACCTAACATTTATTCAATGAAATTATCGATTTAGTTTATTAATTTTATAAGATCTGCTAAATGTCATTATTTATTTATTGGCTTAAATTATTCTTTTACATCTACTAGTCAGACATTTGTTAGATTTTAAATTATATTTCATCAAGTATTTTATTATTAGATCGTAATATGTGAAACGATTAAAATATGTCTTTGAACATCCTATAAGTTTATTTCACATAATTTTATTTATCTTTTCTAACATTTCATTTATAGTATTTTTAAAAAATTATTAAAAAAAATATGACAAAACTCAAATGTTTCACATGTACGAATTAAATAATATATAAATTTTCAAAAAGAGAAAAACTTTATTGAGAAGACATATGTAATTATCATTGTTGCTTTAAATATTTATTATTATTTTATATTGTAATAATTTATACGAATGAAATAATATACAATCATAGACATTGTAATAAGTTAAGTTATAAAGTTTCACGATTCCAATAATAAACTTAATATTTATATTTATATTATATTTCCCACCGAATTCTTGTACTCGTTGAAAAACGGTTCACGATACCTAGTCGTATCGATATTACAATTGTATTTGTTTTGTTAAAAACAACTTTTTAGTAAAGAAATATTAATTAATAGATTGCGATTTTGTTCCTTTAAAGAAAAAAAAAAAATATTCATTTATGATTAACTTGTTAATCGAAAAATTAGCTCGTCATTGAAATATGTTATTCTAAAATCATCAAATTAATTGGTTTGAAACGTCTTATGATTACATTTTTGTTTTTGAAATAAAATGAGTTTGAGAAAAAATGGTATAAACAATTAATGATAGTAGAGTTATGATTAGTAGATTTAAAAATATTGAAATCTGTTATTAAAATATGTTATACAGTTTAAACTTGATAGCTCATAAAAGATATTTAAAATTCAATGAAGCAATCGAATTTCTATAATTCGAATCTAAAAAAAGTATTAAAATGTTTGTATTGAATAATCGTATAACAAATTTTAATAAACGAAAGAAATTTTATTATGTTTAAATATCAACAATTACATATGAATCATATGACTTATCACTTTGAAAATATCTATTGTACATCCAAAATATGAAATTCTTTATGAAAAGAAAAAGTATGGAATAAATATTTTTAACCTTAGAGAAAATAAAGATTCGATTATATTTATTATCTCGTTTAAAAAAAAATGTACTTGCATTTTTTCATTAAATTTTTCATTTTTATTTTTTTCATATTTTTATCATAAAAATATACCCTTTATTTCTGGCCATTTCAAAATATATTCATGATTCGTTTTAATAATAAATTTAAACGATTGAGATGATAATCGTTCACAGTTGTTTTTCAGATAATTCAACGATTAACAGATTAATATGTTTGATGTAATCGATTTTCGATAAGACACGATGCAGACAAGCGAGTTTTTATCACTGGATTCTATTTTACTGTTTTCAATTGGAAAAAAACAAGGAAAAAGATATTATCATAATAACATTACATTCGTGTATCAAATTTAAAGATAATCGAACGAATATGTAATGATGAACATCTGTAAAAAAATAAATAAATAAATAAATAAAAAAGACATATATTTCGAGAAACATTCTAATTAATCGAGCTTGTTGATCACTGTTGATATCTAATTCCACATGGAAATATTAAATAATTTAAACGATTTCACTTTTCGCGAATTTAAAGATCGAATTATATTATTCGAGATCCACGCATATCGAATAATATAAAAATCATTCTTCACTTGACAGAACAGCACGTGATTGGTAATTTATCAGTAACTGATCGACATTGACATATTTACAACTATTATCTTGCTTATTTTTCAGTTTTTATCATCTGATTTTCATTATTCGATTGAAAATATCTTATTAATTTTTTTTTTTTTATCACATTTGATACAGTATTTATTATACGTATTTATTATAATATGACGATTTGAAAAATGAGCATTATACTGATCGATAATCGGTCATTATTCATTTTACATCAATAAAAATCGGATAATGAAATAAGGTTTTAATAATAATAATATTAATATAACAACTTTTTTTTAGTTGTTTATACAAACATAGCATATATATTATATATGCTATATATATATAACGAGAGATAAAACGAGGTAAAATGAATAAATGCATTATTATCGTGCGAGCAACAGGCAATCGTGCCTTGATTGATAAAAAAGTATTCAAATTATTAATAAAATAGTGCAATATCGATATTAAATCATTAAATAGGATTGCACTTCTATTCAGATACATACGATTAACGACCTTAATATGACCTTAAAAATCTAAATAGATTTCCATAAGATGGAATCTAAAATTTTAACGATTGGATTATGTTATTATAATTCTCGTTTAAGAGGCATACACTCGATCATTTCATGTTACATACAAATAATTTCTTTATTTAATTTATTCTCGTCGTCTATATTTATTATAATTTAGTAAACCATGCCACTGAATAGAAAAATTAGAATTTTTTCATTAAATATTTCAGTAATATTTATTATAATATCATATATATCTTTGAAATAATTATCGTATGTATTTTTTGAAAAAGAGAAATATATAAAAAATCATACTGATGCCAATTTTTAGATTTTTAACTTTGACACAATTCGAAGTTTTCAAGATTATGAAAATTCGAATTATTTTAAATATAATTTTAATTCTGGAATTTTTGATAAGTTTTGCGAAAAAAAAATAAATATACGTTATGTTAATTTATGACATAGATTCGTTTTTTTATCGCTTTAAAATTAGAATCTTTTTTTTTTTTCATTCAGTATTCTTATTTATATTCAATTAGATTTTATTATACAAAAAATGTTATCAAAATTTTCAATACTTCTAAAATAATCTATTGAAATTTTGAAATCTTGCAAGATGCATTTCAAAACTTTTAAGAATTCTAAACTTTAAATTTTATTTGAAAATATTTGAATTTTTCATCATATAAATACATATAGATTGAAAGTGTTTGAAATCCAATTATAAAGAGGATGAATTTGTTTCTTTAAACTTTTTTCTTTTTTTAAAATTTATATTTTACTAATGCAAAAATATTAGCATGACTAAAGATAATCATACAGGTATTATATATTCACGAAAAGCATAAGTCATAGATAAAAGTGACAGAATGTGGATCTCCACGCTATTACGCATACATGTCACGTATAACGTGCGAAATTCGTGATTTTTGCATATCTGAAAATTCATAGGTATTGGCTAATGTATACATGGTAAATCATGTGTCGATTAGTTATTCTTTTAAATCGATATAACTATCGAGTTGAATTCGCATTAATTCTGAAAAAATCTATATTTTATTATTTTTTTATCAAGAGAAAATAGCCAAATGTTAAGTTAATTTGAAAAATTTCATTCAATTGAAATAAAAATTTTTATTGTTTCAATTATTTATATTTATTCAAGAAAAAATTATAAAATAAAATAAAATTTATGAAACAATTTTATTCATAAATTGAAAAAATCAGTATCAAATTTCCGAACGAATGATATTCATTTCAATTATTAATAACTTACAATCATTATTATTCATAAAAATTAATTTAACATTTAACCTCTTTTATAAGAAATACAATTCCAAGTCATCTCATTACGTTTACATATTTCTATATAATATTTCGAATTATTATATTATAAAAAAATCTTCGTGTTATTAAATGCAAAAAGTAATTTTATCTTTATAGAATGATATGATAGATATGATAGATAAGATAGACATGATAATTATTACGAATATAGCTGAAGTGCAGTCGAACTAGTCGAAGATTTTCAGTGAGAAGGTAATAACTAAAAGTCGACACTTAAAAAATAGGGAATATTCCTCGAGTCGAGAACGATTGCAGCTATTTTGATTATTTTTATACCGTGTAGATAAAGATAATTAATTAATCGAAGCAATGACAAAGCTTGGAAGCTTTTTTATATGGCTCATGGGTACTTTGTACTCTTATCGATTTTTTAACTTAATGTTCCTTTCCAT